CAACAAGGCGACGGGGTGGTAGCTCAAGGGCCTCAGCCCGAGGAGGGACCAATAAAGAACATTCCAGGGCACTGGGAACAAGGACAGATGAAGATGAACGTGGGGAAGAGGTTACAGTTACAACCATGAGATCTGTCAATGTGTGAGAAGCATGTGACACATATTTATAACTCTCGTAATGTCCAGTTCTTGGAAAGTGTGGCCATTTTACAAATTTTCTTTTTTAAGAAAATGGACTGAATAAATGCATTGATCCAGTCATTTATCTTCTAAGCCAGTGTTTCTCAACCTTCTGGTACTGTGGACCTCTGGTTAAGAAATACCGTACTAAGCCCCTTATCTGTATGATAAGAACTGTTAGATGTGCATATTTTCACGAGAATAGGCATTTAGTTCCATGTGATAGGATGCTCACCAATCTGTTCCCATACTGTGTGTCTAATGTTGTATTATTAAGATGGTATGTAATACTTAGTTTTCTCACGGTGCAAAACAGGGACATTAACTGAATTGGTGCAAACCTAAATTTGTATTTTAGTCAATTAAAGCCTACAGGACAAAATTCTGTAACTGCATTGCTAAATATAATTGGAATACTGTTCAAAAGTTAACATCTGAAAAGAGAAAAAGTGTAAATTAAACAGGTGAGAAAAGGAGAACTGCCAATGCTTAACAGATCATTGGGTTACACAGAGAACGAGGGAGATGAGGGCTAGACCCAGGTTCCGTGGTATTGCAGCCTGCCTGTCATGCCAGTCCCTGGTAGTGATGTCTGTCAAGAGAAAACAAAGTACAAGCAACTCTCGGATTACGAACGAGTTCCGTTCCAAGACGTTGTTCGTTATAAGTTTTTGTTCGTTATAAGTTTTTGTTCGTTATGTATATCTTGAATTCCTTAGCTTTTACGATATGTATCGCATACATTAGCAGCCATTTTAAAGCATTAAAACCATGTACTAATTATCATATAATAATTTTCTGATAATTATTGTAATAAATACATTTTTTAAAAGTTTATTTATTTAAATCTTACAATTATGTTCACTATACATTTGGCATTTCGTTTCATAAGGAACTCTATCTATTGGCGACTTTAAGAAATTTTGAATGAATTGCGACGTTCGTTACAGCGAATGTTCGTAAACCGAGAGTTACCGGTACTTGAAGAAAATTCTTCTCCAGAATCACATTGTCTACCATAAAGCCCTCTTGATTTTGACTATCCTGAGATCTGACTCTGGCCTCCAGTCAGTGCCATTTTCTCTTCATTAAAATATATTCACAGTGTTGAGAAGGCACTGGTGTCGTATTCATTTAAATGTATTATGAACTGTTACTTCCTCTAGCTGGAAAGTGCTGCTCGCTTTCTCACTTATAGGTACAAGTTACAAGTTACATGTATGCCTAGCAAGATAGTTCCGGTATGTTCGCACTATTAATGGCTATAGATTATCATTGGGAGGATCTTTTTCCATCAAAGCATGATCTCTCTGACCTTACCAAACTGCATCAGTGATGTCAGCATGGGTGGGATATCTGGTGCCTGTCTGATTGAGGACTCCCCAAGGACAATTCCATACTGAAAAATAAGTAGATCTTTACGTATAAAGTGCATTCTTCTAGTCCGATTTTAATCAGAATTGGAATGTACTGACCAATTTTTGTGACACTTTCCAACATTAAATTTCCTGAAAATTGGTTCAGTGGTTCTATAGTTATATGCAACAGATGTACAGACAGACATGATGAAGCTCATAGTAACATTTTTATAACACTATTATGAGTGTGGGTCTGAGGCGTGGGCCTTGTGCCGCTTGGTCGCTGGGACCGTGTGTTCGAATCCCACTCAAGCCATGGATGTTTTTCTGTGTTGTGCTGTCCTGTATACATGTAGAGGCCTTGCGACGGGCCGATCCCTCGTCCAAGGAGTCCTACCGAAAGTCTATAGATCAAGCCAACTAAAAAGTTGGGGCCCACAGTGCTCAGGCACTTGAAGAATGGGTCGTTCAAGTATCCCAGTTATGAGTGTATCTGAAAACTAAAATGGCATGTGATTTGAACATTATATCATTCAGTTAAAATCCCTGGCTAAGAGGTTAAAAATATTGCACTTAATGTTAGTGTGTTTATAGACTTCATGGATGTGAGAAAGGTACCTTGAAGAGATAATGTGATGATTTGTACTGTATTTTTAGAGAATATAACTTGCCAAAAGATGTATAGTGATTGCAAACTATACATACTTCCAAACAGCCAGACTGGCATTTATTTTTCTGATTATCGAGCTAATATAAATACTTCAAGCTCCATTCAGCTCATCACTGTATTTTTGTTACAAAACAGCTGATAACAAAGTGAAGCTGCAGCTTTACAATGGTTTCCATTCTTCTGCCAGTACAAATTCTGCACTTTTAGCACTAAATACATAATATTTTATGAACAAATTGTACATGAAATTGCATCTTCTGGATGTCTTTTATTATTGTTTTCCGGTTTCTCAGTGTTCACACAAAGTATGCCTCTTGAATAGGAATAAATACAGCACACCCTTGCTGCTCATTTGGGTCATGTCCTTGAAAAAACCTCTCTAATGGTAAAACTGTGATGTGCAAAGTTCAGAGCTTATGGGGAAAATAGGTTCATGGGTACCAAAGACACATGTAATATGGCACTTTGTGTACTATAATTAATCATTAATAAACCTTA